GGATTGCCTGAACCCAGGGGTTGGACCAGCCTGGGCAACTTCACGAGATCTTGTCTCTACAATAAATCAAAAATTAGCCACGTGTGGTGGCATGTGCCTGTGGTCCCTGCTACTTGGAAGGCTGAGGCAGAAGGATAACCTAAGCCAGTAAGTCAAGGCTGCGATGGCTGTGAGCGTGCCACTGCTCTCCAGCCTGGGTGACAGAGTAAGACACCGACTCAAAAAAAAAAAGACAGAAAAGGTAAAGTGGCTTGAATATGGAATAGAACTGAAGCAACAGAAGAATGGCTGACAAAAGCAACCAATACAAAAGCAATCCCTCAACCAAATCACTATCTGTGATCAGATATTTTTCCTGATGACTACCTTTCTATAAAACTTAATGACGAGCTCTCCAAAATGGGGAGACTACAGAATGTAACAATGAATCTTGAAACAGCGTGACAACTATCTCTGTCACTGGATGTTATCCTTGCCTGATCTTCCTATGAGAGCCAAGCAAAAAGCCACTGGAGACAGGGAGCCCATGTGCTGATAAAACTCAGCCACCCCACTGGCAGCCAGCAGATGCCCAATAGAGGCCTCAGACCATGTCCTCTCTGGGAAAAACTTACTCCTGCTTTGAAAGTTATGTCTGAGTCGGGCTTGGTGGCTCAGCCTGTAATCCCAGCACTTTGGGAGGCTGAGGTGAGTGAATTGCCTGAGCCTGAGGATTCGAGATCTGCCTGGGCAACTTGGCAACACCTCATCTCCACAATAAATCAAAAATTAGCCGGGCATGGTAGCGTGCACCTGTAGTTCCAGCTACTTGGAAGACTGAGGTGGAAGGATCGCTGGAGACCAGCATGTCAAGGCTGTGGTGGCTGGGAGTGTGCCACTGCACTCCAGTCTGGGTGACAGAGTAAGACTCCAACTCAAAAAAAAGAAGAAGCTGTAACATGTATGCAGCAGAAAGCATGTGGGCTGTGTACTCAGAAAGATCGGACTCAAAATCAGTTCCATAATATAGAAGCTGTGCCATGGGCAGTGTCTTCATCTATAAAATAAAGATGTGCTCCCCTCTGAGAAATCTGCACTCACCTCCAGAATCTGACACAATCGATATCTTAGCACTATTGTTACAGGTGATCCTTACACTGCCAAGAAGTGGACCAGGTACTACAGCTGCAGTTCACAGATGAAGAACTAGAACATTCAGAAACCACATGGTTCAGAGCAGCCCAAATAGCCAAAGCAATCCTAAGCAAAAAGAATAAAGCAGAGGCATCACATTGCCAGACTTCAAACTTTACTACAAGGTTACAGTAACCAAAACGCATGGTACTGGTACAAAAATAGATGCATAGACCAATGGAATAGAATAGAGAACCCAAAATAAAAGCTCTGCCTTACAACCATCTCATCTTTCACAAAGTTGACAAAAAGAAACACGGGAAAGGACATGCTATTTAACAAACGGTGCTGGGAAAACTGGCTAACCACAACAGAAGAATGAAGCTGGACCTCTTCTGCTCTCCATATGCACAAATTAGCTCAAGATGGATTAATAACTTAAATATAAGTACTAACACTGTAAAAACCCTAGAAAAAAGCCTAGGAAACTCTTCTGGACACTGGCCTAGGCAATAAATTCATAATCAACAACTCAAAAGCAAAAGCAGCAAAAACCAAAATTGGGAAGTGGGGCCTAATCAGGCTTAAGAGCTTCTGTTCCATTGGTCTGTGCACAGCACAAGAAAACCATCACTCAACAAGAGACCAATATCCAGATTCTACAAAGAACTTAAGCAGAGAAAAACCTAATTGCCCCACTGAAAAGTGAGCAAAAAAAACACTTCTCAAAGGATGATATACAGGCTGGGTAAGGTGGCTCATGCCTGTTAATCCCAGCACTTTGAGAGGCTGAGGTGAGAGGATTGCCTGAGCCCAGGGGTTCGAGATCAGCCTGGGCAACTTGGTGAGACCTCATCCCTATAATAAATCAAGAAAAATTAGCTGGGCATGGTGGCACACAAATATAGTTCCAGCTACTTGGAAGGCTGAGGTGGAAGGATCACCTGAGCCCAGCAGGTTGAGGTTGCTGTGGTCATAGTGTGTCACTGCGCTCCAGCCTGGGCAACAGAGTGAGACGCCAACGCAAAAAAAAAAATTTCAAACCAGGCTCGGTGGCTCAGCCTGTAATCCTGCGCCTTTGGGAGGCTGAGGTGAGTGAATTGCCTGAGCCCGTGGGTTCGAGACTCACCTGGGCGGCGAGACCTCATCTCTACAATAAATCAAAATATCAGCCGGGCATGGTAGCACATGCCTGTAACTCCGGCTACTTGGAAGGCTAAGGTGGAAGGATCGCCGGAGTCCAGCAGGTCAAGGCTGCGGTGGCCAGAAGTGGCCACTGCACTCCAGTCTGGGCGACAGAGTGAGACTCCAACTCAAAAAAATAAAAAATAAAATAAAATAAAAAAACAAAAATTTCAACATCACTAATCATCAGAGAAAAGCAAATCAAAACCACAATGAGATCCATCTCACACCAGTAAGAATGGCTTTTATTAAAAAATCAAGGTCTGGTACGGTAGCTCAACCTGTAATCCCAGCACTTTGGGAGGCAGAGATGAGAGGACTGCCTAGCCCAGGGGTTTGAGACCAGCCTGGGAAAATTGGTGAGACCTCGTCTCTACAATAAATCACAAAAACTAGCTGGGCTTGGTAGTATGCGTCTGTAGTTCCAGCTACTTGGAAGGCTGAGGGGAAGGATTGCCTGAGCCCAGCAGGTCAAGCTGTGGTGGCCGAAAGTGTGCCACTGTACTCCAACCTGGGTGACAGGAGTGAGACTCCAACTCAAAAAAAAAAAAAAAAAAAAAAACCAGACGTGGGCGAGGTTGCAGAGAAAAGGGAATGCTCCCACACTGTTGGTGGGAAACTAGTTCAGACTCTGTGGAAAGCAGTGTGAACATTTCTCAAAGAACTAAAAACAGATTTCTCATTTGACCCAGCAATCCCACTACTGGGTATATAGCCAAAGGAGCATAAACACCTCTACTAAAAAGACACCTGCACTCACATGTTTATCACAGCACTAACGACAATAGCAAAAACATGAAATCAATCTGGGTGCCCATCAAGAGTAAACTGGAGCCGGGCATGGTGGCTCAAGCCTATAATCCCAGCACTTTGGGAGGCCAACGCAAGAGGACTGCCTGAGCCTAGGGGTTCAAAACCAGCCTGGGCACCTTGGCAAGACCTCATCTCTACAATAAAAAAAAAAGTAGTCAGGCATGGCAGCACATGCCTGCGGTTCCAGCTACTTGGAAGGCTGAGGCGGAAGGACGGCCTGAGCCCAGTAGGTCGAGGCTGTAGTGACCATGAGCGTGCCACTACACTCCAACCTGGGCAACAGAGTGGACTCCTACTCCAAACAAACAAATATATATATATTTTTTTTTTATTAAAAAATCAAATACATATATATTTTTTATTAAAAAATCAAATATATATATATATTTTATTAAAAAATCAAGGTCTGGTGCGGTGGCTCAACCTGCAATCCCAGCACTTTGGGAGGCAGAGATGAGAGGACCGTCTAGCCCAGGGGTTTGAGACCAGCCTGGGAAAATTGGTGAGACCTTGTCTCTACTATATATATATATATATATATTCAATCTAGTCATTATATACAAAGGAAAAATTGGAAACAACCTAAATGCCCCAAAACTGGGATAAGATTAAACAACTCCAGAAAATCCACAGAAAAAGTACACAGCCACTCAAAATAAGCATTTCCAAGTTACTAAATGACACTGAAGAATATCTACAATACAACGGTAAATGAAAAAAGCTGGAATATACACAAAAAGGTGACCAAAAAAAATCCAATTGTGACTTTCTCTGAATAATAGACTTCCAGGTATTTTTAAATCTTCTGGGCATGCACGGTGGCTCATGCCTATAATAATACCAGCGAGGCCAAGGTGAAAGGACTACTTAAGCCCATGGGGTTCGAGACCAGCCTGGGCAACTTGGTGAGACCTCATTTCTACAGTAAGTCAAAAAATTAGCCAGGCATGATAACGCATGCCTGTAGTTCCAGCTACTTGGAAGGCTGAGGCAGAAGATCGCCTGAGCCCAGTAGGTTGAGGTTGTGGTGGACGGGAGTGTGCCACTGCCCTCCAGCCTGGGTGACAGAGTGAGACTCCAACTCAAAAAAAAAAAAAATCTTCTTTTTAGTTTTCTAAATATTACACAGTTAGCATATACAGAAAGAGACCTGCCAGGTCAAAGGCTCAAACCTGTAATCACAGCACTTTGGGAGGCTGAGGAGAGAAGACTGCCTGAGCCCAGGGGTTCGAGACCAGCCTGGGCAACACCGTGAGACCTGTCTTTACAACAAATAAATTAGCTAGGCATGGTAATGTGCACCTGTGGTTCCACCTATTTGGAATGCTGAGGCTGAAGGATCGCCTGAGCCCAGCAGGTCGAGGCTGCAATGGCCATGATCATGCCACTGCACTCCAGCCTAGGTGACAGAGTGAGACCCTGACTCAAAACAAAAAAAAAAAAAGAAAGAAAAAAGAGACCATGTTTTTGTATTTTAAACCGTTAACCTTTTTGACAAACTATTGTTAAACAACTTAATAATATTGTGGCTGAAATGGCATTTGCCTGACATGGGTCTTGTGCTTCTTCAGAATAAGAAACTGTAACAGTAGTACAATTACTGTCCTCAAATAAAATGTGAAATCTAGATGCACAAGAGAAAAGACCTGCAGTCAGGGCTGCAGGCCTCAGAGTTCAGCCTCTACAACAAAAGATGGTGGCCCAACAGGCCAGAGCACTCTCTTTTTAAGTTCTTAAAGCAGAAACAAGGCAGAGCTGAGAAAAACAGACAGGACAGCCCTAACACAGACCCTGAAGCTCTCTCTGTGATCTTGCAATCAGATACAGACATGTACATTCCCAAAGGTCCTGCAGGCTTGCCTAGAAAAACACTCTAGGAGATTTCTTACCTGAGCACAACTGTTCAATCTTTGTTAGGTTCAACTGCAGAGACTCATTGATCCAGGCCAGCATGTCATGTCGACTTAGGTTATCACTGGTGACTGACGTTGAATATACGTTCACTGCCATCTTCTACAGCATGCAAGAAAGAGAAGGGCTCCCGTTACAGTAGGCACACAAGTGAGGGCAATGTCTCCCGGAGAGTCACCCAGAGCAAGCCTATGAGACCACTCCATTTCTCAGCCTCGCCTTCTTCCCAGAGAGGCCAAACCAGACACACTAGGGTTCTAGGCATGAGCCTGGACTTCCACACATCAACATGACCTGAAGTGAACTGCCCAATACCAGCCAGCCTGAAATCTAGGCCCTATTTTAATGTCACAAAATTATTTTCTTTTTTATTTTAAATTTGGGGGAACACATGCATATTCGTTACATGGACATACTGTAGTGGTAGGGATTGGGTATCAGATAATGAACATTGTGCCCTGTAGGTAGTTTGTGAGCCCTACCCCCTCCCACTTCCCTTCTTATTTTAAACCACAAATAGGCACTAAGTAACAGGATGAGTAAAGTGCTTTATGAAAGGAGGCTGATGCAAAAACAAGAATGTTCTCTGTTTAGAAAACATCAGTTTTTAGGCACAGTGATTCATGCCTATAAAACCAGCACTTTGGGAGGTAGAGACAAGAGGATTGTCTGAGCCCATGGGTTTTTTGAGATCAGTCTGGGCAGCATGGCAAGAGCTCATATCTCTACAATAAATCAAAAAATTAGCTGGGCATGGTGGCGCATGCCTCTTGTTCCAGCTACTTGGAAGGATTGAAGCAGGATCGCCTGAGCCCAGCAGGTGGAGGCTGTAGTGGCCATGAGTGAGCCACTGCACTCCAGCCTGGGCAACAGAGTGAGACTTCAACTCAAAAAGAAAAAAGAGCCGGGCTCGGTGGCTCAGCGGCTCAGCCTGTAATCCCGCGCCTTTGGGAGGCTGAGGTGAGTGGATTGCCTAAGCCTGCAGATTCGAGACCCGCCCGGGCAACTTGGTGAGACCTCATCTCTACAATAAATCAAAAAATTAGCCGGGTGTGGTAGCGCGCGCCTGTAGTTCCAGCTACTTGGAAGGCTGAGGCAGAAGGATCGCTGGAGCCTAGCAGGTCGAGGCTGAGGTGGCCGTGAGCATGTCACTGTACTGCAGCCTGGGCAACAGAGTGAGACTCCGACTCAAAAATAAGTAAATAAAAACACTAGTAACTGTGGGTGCCATCATGTATGGCACTAGTTTAGTCATTCCTCATTCATTCAACAGATGCTTACCAAGTTCTACCACATGGTCACTGCTCTAGGGACTAGGAGATAGAGAAGAGGCAGAGTGCCTGCATGTTCTCGCAGTGGGAGGCCTGATACCCAAAACACAAATGACATCGCATTACACTAACCACACAGGAATGGGGCTTAGGGACGTGGTCAGAAGAAAGCAACACGGAGATCTGGAAGAAGGGTGCTACAGCCCAGTAAGCAAGAGGGAGAGGAGAGAACAGAAGCCAAGACCAAATCATGTCAGCACTCTGCAGACCACAGAAAGGAGTCTGGATTTTACTCCAACTGTTAAGGAACCCACTGTCAGGTTTTACATGAAGTAGAACCTTGCTCTCATCAGTTTGGAAAAGATTCCGACTCCTCGTAGTGACGAAACAGTAGGGAGAGAAGACTCAAGCAGTATGAGATAGGGCAGGCTAATTCAGATCAATGAAACCCGTGAGAGTCACCATAAGGATATACCATGAAACACCAGACTTCAGTGTTTAGGACACTGGCAATTTTCTTCATTTTATGAGACAGCAATATTACCGATGGGTTAGGGTAGAGGAGGACTCAGGGCAATCTGAAACAATGAGATCCAGCCCCTGCTCTCCTGGGACACTGTGTGCCCTCCACCCAGTGCCAAGCATACGAGCTGGTCTTCCCACTGTCTGAGGTGCTGAGCTGCTGCAGGGCTCATGTGGCACACAGCCAAAAAACATGAGGGCCAGACACAGAGATCCACCCATCCAGGTCCCTTTTCATGGGTGATGGAGATCTGTGACCCCTTGCATCCCCCATGTCTTGCACAGGTAGGTGCTACTTTTTCAGGATGGCAGGACAGCATCAAAGAGAGAAAAATGTATCTATATAAGCTTTTTTCCACAAAGCAAGCCATCAACACTCTTACATTCCCCAAATCAGCTGATATAACCATGTTATGCAAGACACCAACACAATTTAGCTCCTGACTCCACTGGGAAGTTAATCCCCGTTTCCAGAGCACTTCATTCAAACCTCTATGGTAGGGATTATCACAATGTCATCATCTCATGGTTTCCGAGTCACTCCGGACCATATTTGAGAGGAGACCCAGCCAGGAGGACGTGGGTTTGAAAGTGAAGCTATATCACTCATTAGTTGTGTGAACTTGGGCAAATTAATTAAAGTTATCTTACAAGTTAATGCCACCTGTCTGAAAAGGATCATGGAGAGGCTTAAATGAGATGAAGTACAAACAATACTTGGCATATCAACACATAACAGGTATCCAACAAGCAAGGGCCAGGACCTTGTCTCACTTACGCCCCTAACCCCAGTGCCAAAAACAGCTCCAAAAGATCTGCCACTGCCATCTCACATGAGATACACAGCAACTGTCTTCAAGTTAGTCTCATTGTCTTCATCTGTTCTTACAAAGCAAGTCACAGAGAATTTTCTGAATCCAATCAGGTCAAGTGTCTCTCCTGTTTAAAATCCCTGAAAGAATAAATGAAACGCATACTTTGTGCAAAATGCTATTATCAGGTACCAAGCAGAGACATCCAGACAAAAAAGATGGTCCCAGGCTGAGCATGTGCAATCTACTATGGCAACATTTATATATACAGAGTATTGTATGTGTGGTGCTACCATAAAATGTAAGCAGCTGGTGAAGCCATGTGTGTCTCCTGACCACACCCCAGCTCAGAAAACATTAATGGTCTTTCATCACATAACTGAAAACTCTATCATTAGCAGTATATTCACACCTAGTCCCACGTGCACCCCAGACTCTGCAGCCCCTAAATACCCGAGATCAGACGCCCTATGGACGTACAGTAAACATCTACCAATTAACTGGCTCTTCCAAACAGTCAAAACAGAGCCTAGTTCTCAGAGCTGCAACTCCAGCTCCCTCTTCCTCTGTAAGAATCCCACTGCCTGCCGGGCTTGGTGGCTCAGCCTGTAATCCCATGCCTTGGGAGGCTGAGGTGAGTGGGCTGCCTGAGCCCGCGGGTTCGAGACCCGCCTGGGCAACTTGGTGAGACCTCATCTCTACAATAAATCAAAAGAAAATTAGCCGGGTGTGGT